GCTTGCGAGCCCGAGCACCACTGGCGGCACCGCCGGGAGTTCCTGCTGCGCAACGTAGGGGAGCCGCCGGCAGCGGGCAGCGCCCAGCTCCAGCGCCTGGTGTCTCTCTCCATGGTGTGGGCCAACCACGTCTTCCTGGGCTGCCGGTGAGTGCGAGCCCCGCGGCGGAACGGGGAGGAGGGGGCGCGGCGCGGCAGCCTGACGACCCCCCCTCCCTTCCTCTCCCCTTGTCGCCCCTCCAGGTACCCGCCGCAGGTCATGGAGAAGGCGCTGGAAATGGCCGAAGGCATCCAAGTGACCGGCGCGCCTGTCCGCACCACGAGAGATGAACTGGTTGCCAAGGTGAAGAAAAGAGGCATATCAAGTAGCAATGGTTAGCAGATCATAGCTGTGACAATACATAGGAGTCTAGAAAATGCTTGTTTTTGAATGTTCTCCGTTTACCTCGGGCCTAGAAAGTAGTCGAAATAATGTGCTTCTTAAACTTGTTAATCGTTTCCCCTCTCTGTGCTGTTTTTCCGTTATATAATACCTGTAAAATAGGTGTAATGCGTAAGCATTCCGTTGGTAATGTAGAGCTCTTATCTTGAGTATCTGCAACTGGTGCGCTTTAAGCTGATTATTGTCTTAATGCGGTGTAGACTGTTGTACTCTAGCTTAAATGTATCCTTGTTACTTTGCTGTTAGTGCTAGTCAGATGTTCTTACTTTATGAGAAACTTAGTGTCGTAAAGAAATTCTTAAAGCGGTGTTTTAAAGATGTTTTCATGATCTTATTAGTAGGCAAAATACAGGGGTTTTTAGGTCAGATAGTCTATTTAATGTACTTTGGTCATTTTTGGTTTGGACTTCAAGAATACAAGTACATGTTGGTCTCAAACCAAAATCTGAAATCTTGCAGCTGAGTATTTTTAAGTTTTTATCCAAAAATACTGAAATATTCTGAAATAGTAGGTTAATACTTGAACTTACAGTTCAAGGTGTATTTCTAATATATACCTTTTAAATTCACAGAGATTATTGCTAGCAGTTTTTAGAAAATAGATAAATTGTCTCTAGATGGCTATTTCATAGTGCAGAGATTAAAGGGGATAACACACTTTACTTGTTTTGCAGAAGGGGTAGAGGAGCCTCCCAAGAAGCGAGCTGTTGAGAAAAGCAAAAGTTCTAAAGATACTGGAAAGGATGTGAAAACAACAAAGGCAGAAGCCCCGAAGGAAACGGAGAGCACGTTGCCAAAAAAGCGGGAAAAAGATACTACCAAAGATCAAGCAAGCTCCCAGTCAGCTTGCAGTTCAGATCAAGAAATGGTTACGGCATCAGACATAGAAACAGAAGGAAAACCTGCTAATGCTGAAAATACTACTGAGCAAAATCCATCTTCACCTACAAAAGAGTCAGGAGAGAAGCCTTGCTTAAATCCACCTAAGGAAAGCAAATGTGAAAATGTGCTGTCACCTGAAAAGAAAACCACAGTAAGTGCAGTGCCACCAGCTGCCAAGAGCACCCCGCAGGCAGAGGTGATGGCAGAGGTGGTGTCACCAGCTGCCAAGGGCGCTCCACAGGCAGCAGTGGCGGTGTCACCAGCTGCCAAGGGCGCTCCACAAGCAGCAGT